CAATCTTGGTCTCAATTAACCACATTTGACAATAACAACAGAGACATTAATATATTCCATGTAAATGTGAGAAGCATTTATAAAAATTTTGATGATTTTTCTGGAGTCTACTGGTAAGATGTTTGATATCATAGTTATGACAGAAACCTATATTGTTCATGATAAAAATAATTTTAACATTCCTGGATACTCTGTATTCTGGAATGAAAGCACCATAAATCAGTTTGATGGATGTATGATATATGTAAGACAGCAATATTTCCAGAGTTGCAGCATCCTAGAATCAAACAATCTAAAATGTCTACATGTTTCACTATACAGAAACAATAATCTTATTAACATTTTGGGACTCTATAGATCACCAGCAACAGATATGGATGGTGTTGTGAATGATTTAGGTAACATTTTGGATACTACTTCATCCGATACTAAACAAATATATGTTCTGATAGGGGATATAAATATCAACTTACTCGATACAGCATCTCCAACAGTAAATAACTACATAATTATGCTAAACTCATATGGATTTTTGAGCATGATTAATAAACCAACTCATGTACAACATCAGAGTGCTACATGTATTGATCATTGCTTTGTAAAATGCAACAATACAATGTACGATAATCTAAATCCAGTTATATTGAAGAGAGATTTCACTGATCACTACCCCATCCTGTTGAATATTAAGCTTAATACAATTAGTAGATCTGAAACCTCTCAAAATAGACCTGTATTTCGAAAAATTAATTTTAGAAATTTAAAACAAAAATTGTCTGTTGAAAGTTGGAAGGATGTGCTTGAGAGTACTGATGCTGACTCATGTACAGAAGCATTCATTGATCTCATGCAGAAATATGTACAAATGTGTATCACTATGACTCATGTAACCAATAAACAAATAAGGCTGAAACCCTGGATCACAAGTGGACTCTTTAATTTCCATACGTAAAAGAGACAAACTGAAAAAATTATGTACTTTAAATCCAAATAATGTTGAAACATTAAATACTTACTGGCGATACAGAACTAACTTATCTAAACTAATTAAAAAATCTAAATATAACTATTATAAAGCAAAAATTAATCAAAACTCAACAGACTCAAGAAAAATTTGGAAAATAATAAGAGAAGCCACAAATGACTCAAATGTTAAATCAGATATAGGTGCAATTTATAATGATCAAAATATTGAGGTCACTGATAGGAAATTGATGGCAAATGAGTTCAATAAATACTTTAGCAATGTTGGTCAAAAACTAGCACAAAAAATCAACCCACCATATTGTGAGCCAGGTTCCCAGCAAAGAGTATGTAATCCGGAATCTTTCTTTTTGTCACCAGTCAGAGACCATGAACTTCTGGAGCAGATAAAATACTTTAAGTGTGGTGTCTCTTGTGGAGAAGATGGCATCACATCGGAGGTGATAAAGTATAATCATGAATATTTACTGCGACCCCTAGAGCACATTATAAATGTCATTTTTGGTTCGGGAGAGTATCCAACTGTCCTTAAAGAAGCCCAAATTACTCCCCTTCATAAAGGGGGCGACAAGAAAATGACAACTAACTATAGACCAATTGCACTAATAAGCACTGTTAGTAAAGTAATAGAAAAATGCATTAAACATAAATTGATGATATTCTTAAATAAACATAATCTATTATCACAGAACCAGTTTGCTTTTAAAAATAACATCAGCACAGAGAATGCATTGTGCAAAGTGACAGAACAGATTATAAAGGGTTTGGATAACAGGAAAAGGGTTGCTGCCATATTTCTGGACTTGGCAAAGGCCTTCGACACGGTGGCGCACGAAGTTCTATTAAACAGATTACATGATATGGGTATAAGAGGCTTAGCTAATGATCTATTTAAGACATACTTAACTGATAGAACCCAAAAAGTTAAAATTGGGAATGTAAGAAGTGATACTGTAAAGATGGGAGTTGGTGTACCGCAGGGAACTGTGCTGGGGCCTTTGTTATTTAGCATATACAGGGTGTATATTTTAAGTGATACCACTATTATTGCTATATCCGAAACGGTAAGAGCGAGGGTAAGAGCTACAGGGTCGGTTAAATTAGAAAAAAGTTGCCTTGTTTGATGCCCATTTAAGACTCGTTTACAATGTTGCCAAATTTCTTTTAGTTTATGAAATACAGGGTGATTTCTAAGAAACGTCCAAAAATATTCCATCATTTATTTCGAAAACTATTGATTTTTGAGACACAATTTAAATTTGAAAATTTTATAATTTTTTCCGTTCTACAATATGACATTTTCAAATTTTAAATCCGACGTTTCGTCATCAAGATACCATCATCAACTTCATTTTTTTAAATACGGACCTGGATTTTTTATGTCATTTTTAGGAAGCGCCCTTAATTCTCTTTCCAAAAATGACATAAAAAATCCAGGTCCGTATTTAAAAAAATGAAGTTGATGATGGTATCTCGATGACGAAACGTCGGATTTAAAATTTGAAGATGTCATATTGTAGAGCGAAAAAAATTATAAAACTTTCAAATCTAAATTGTGTCCCGAATATCAATAGTTTCCAAAATAATTGACGAAATAATTTTAGGCCTTTGGCAACACTGTAAACATACACCCTTTGTAAATATACACCCTGTATATAAATGGTATTTTTTCTGTATTAACTGAGGGAGGGGTTTTCTGTTTTGCAGATGATATTGTTATTATAGTGAAAGGGAATACATGGCAATCAACTATTAGGAAAGCGGAACTAGCAATAATAAACATAAAAAGATGGTTAGATTTTAGCTTGTTATCACTTAACATTGATAAAACTTACTTCATGACCTTCGCTCTAACTCAGGCAACCCTTCCGGAAGTTCAAGAACTCAAGGTTCATGATTCTGTTTGTGACATGCAAGCCTTAAGCTGCACATGTCAGTCCACAATCAAAAGAAAAGACAGTCTGAAGTATCTGGGGGTATTCATGGATGAAAAATTAACTTGGAAAACACACATAGAATACGTAACTTCCAAATTAAGAAAGCTGATTTATAAATTCTACGAGCTACGAAACATATTACCATTTAAAACTCTTAAAACCATATACGTGTCGTTAATTGAATCAATTTTAAATTATGGCATTGTTGTCTGGGGAAATGCCCGAAAGAATATTATATCAGCCCTAAATGTAGCTCAAAAATATGTCATTAAAATCATGTATTTTAAAAATAGAAGATATCCCTCCGATTTATTATTCCATGAGTGCAAACTACTGACTTTAAACCAACTATATATGCTAGCGGCAATTCGTTTTATGCTAAAAACAAATTATTATAAACAGGAGATTACCCATCAACTCAATACTAGAAATGCAATTCGTCAGAATGTGATTATACCATCTGTGACCACTTCAGCCATACAGACACCTTTACTTTACTGGTCCAAAACTTTATAATATTTTACCTCCTTGCTTGAGAACAAGGAAGTACTGTCAGGTTAGGCATAGGATTAGGAAATGGATGGTGGATAGTGGAGTAACTATTAATGGTCTTAATTAGATTCAACTCTAATTTATTTTTATTTAATTTTTTTGAATTTTGTTAAATTTTATCAAATCTGTTAAATTAATTCCATGTTATTAGATAATAATTAACCTTACCAGTGATATCATTATATATATTTAAGTTAAGGCAATAAGTATTAACATCTGAACACACAGATTTTATAATCCATTGTGCAGTTCTAAGTATTTGTACCTAATTATTGTACCTGAGTATTGAATAAATTATTATTATTATTATTGTTAAATTAGCTAGAAAAACATCAAATCAAATATAAGAGAATTCCAGGAAAAAGCATACTGCCCGACGTAAACAAGTGTCTTTGAATTCTGTTGCCGCGATTTCGATGCATTTTTGTAACAATGTAGTGTAATTTTTTAGATTTCTGTTGTTCATATCTGATTTTCTTCTCAAAATAGCTTGTGCTTGGTGCTCCATATCCTCTAAGGCCCAGTTGTACAATCTCGGTTCAAAACAAAGTTCAACTGAACTCGACTGGTACTTGAGCTTTCCGCTTTCCCATTTGATAATACATTGCTGTCAGCTATTGATCAAATTCTATCAATTTTGACAGCAATGCATTTCAAATGGGGAAGTTCAAGTACCCAATGAAGTAGAAAGAAGGTTTGGAATGGGCTTTGCATTATTCGAGGCGTCATTCAATTGATTCCAGAATGAGATAGCTCTGGTAAGGGCAGGAAAATCTCACGGATCTCTCCTGAGGCTGGATTCTGTAACGAATAGGGATCGTTATCGCTATCGCTATGGCACTTCTCTCTTTTCGAAATCAATAGAGAGGGGACGTCAATAGAGATAGCAAAAATATCGCTATTCGTTACAGAATCCCATCCCTGTTCTCTTACTCTAATGTTGGCCGCAAATATACATATTGAGTAGATAGGCAATAGGAGTTAAAAAACTCACCTTCCAGAAATCGGGAATGGTGCCCGTTAAAACAGAAGAATTAAATATACGAAATATGAAACAGCAATTTCTCAGCAAAATTGGAGGAATGCCATTGGGACCAACGCTTTTGTTAATTTTTAAGCCGGAAGCTTTCCGTAAATCTACATATGTACTTGGTAGAATGAGATATTTTTTATTTTTGTTTTGTTTAATTCAAAATAGAAAATGAGTCGTTTTTACATTGCAAAGTTATTTATTATGACATAATTTATATAAAGTTGTCTCAGTGAAGTAAAATATCCGGCTGAATATTAGTACATATAGGTATCATCCGGCCTAAACAAATATCCGTCGGACCACTCTAGAAATAATGCAACTTGCGGTGCAGCTGTGTGCATTTCAGGTTGACTAATTCACTTCTGCAAATCAGTAAGAGTAGCTAACAGTCATTAAACAAGCAACTTTACATTTATCCTAATTGAACTTTATTGATGTTATTATTAGTATTTATTAAATTTTAAATATAATTTTTTTTACAATCGTGATAATAGGTGGAAAATGACATGTCATCTCCCACAATGCTGGGCATTTCCGAAGACATGGTTCAGGACCTCTACAGTTCAGATCCAGCGCTTCAGCTAGCAGCAACTCAAAAATTCAGAAAACTATTGAGCAGAGAACCAAATCCACCTATTGACCAAGTTATTCACACAGGAATTGTTCCATGTTTTGTAGAATTTCTGAAAAATACCACAAATAGTACATTGCAAGTAAGAATTCCGCCTATATAATAGTGAGCTGATTGTATTAATTTTTTATTTAACCTTTTAGTTTGAAGCTGCCTGGGCACTTACAAATATTGCCTCTGGAACATCACAGCAAACTCGGATGGTGATTGATGCTGGCGCTGTTCCTATTTTTATTGCTCTACTGGGAAGCCAGTTTGAAGATGTCCAGGAACAAGCCGTCTGGGCTCTTGGGAATATTGCTGGAGATTCCCCAGAATGCAGAGATCATGTTTTGGATTCGGGAATTTTAGTTCCATTGTTACAGTAAGAAATTATTCACATTATTTTTCCACACATCAAATTAACAAATATTACAGATTATTGGGAAAATCTACTAGATTGACCATGATACGGAATGCGGTTTGGGCTTTATCCAATCTCTGCCGTGGAAAAAATCCACCACCAGAATTCTCTAAAGTATCACCATGCTTACCTATTTTAGCCAGACTTTTATTTCACACTGATGCAGATATACTTTCTGACGCTTGTTGGGCTTTAAGCTACTTGTCCGACGGACCAAACGAGAAAATTCAGGCTGTTATTGACGCAGGAGTCTGCAGAAGGCTCGTGGAACATTTGATGGCTCCTCAACCAAATGTAGTATCGGCTGCCTTGAGGGCTGTTGGTAATATCGTAACTGGCGATGACGTACAAACACAAATAATCCTTAACTGTCAAGCACTGCCTTGCTTGTTGCACTTGCTTGGTTCATCTAAAGAAAGTGTAAGAAAAGAAGCATGCTGGACTATAAGTAATATCACTGCCGGAAATCGATCACAAATACAGGTGAGTTGATTTTTTTTGCGTATTTTTTATTTAATATTTAATCTTTTTTCCTAGGCTGTTATTGACGCGAACATATTCCCAGTTTTGATAGAAGTTTTATGTAAAGGTGATTTTAAGACAAGAAAGGAAGCTGCTTGGGCCATTGCAAATGCTACAAGTGGGGGAACTCCAGATCAGATAAGGTGAATGAATTGTATTTCGCAGAAGCCTGCGTTACATACGCCTCACTTTCTCTACTTGTTAAACCGTTTATTTTCTTTTTTATTTAGGTATTTGGTGAATCAGGGTTGTATTGGGCCACTATGTGATCTATTGACAGTGATGGATATAAAAATCGTGCAAGTGGCACTTAATGGACTAGAAAATATTTTGCGACTAGGTGAACAGGAAAGTAAGGCGCACAGTGGAAATAATCCATATGCTGTCCTTATTGAAGAATGCTATGGTATGTAAAATGAAAAAACAAATGTGTATTTTTAAAGTGTGTAGGGTATAGGATGAAAACAATCAAAACAATCACAATAAAACAAAGTTATAATTTTGACTTGGGAACGTTGCTCAATTTCCTTACATAAAACATAGTGATTCAGGATTTTATCAATTCTAGCATTAGTGAAATTAGTTTTTACAACCAAAACTGGTTTCTTGTTTTGGCCGGACCCAAAACTTCCTTTTGAGACAATTGTTTACTTCTCTACTCCGCGAATCGCTCCCAATGTTCGCACAAAAACTCACACATGTATAGTTTTTCCAAAACTAGCTCCATACCCACAATTCTTTCGCCAACAAATAAAATATAAACGCAGTTGGTCTAATAATTGATGACTTGCAATGGATTTAGTTTTGGATCTACAATAGTTTCATCTCCGGATGTAGTTTTGGCAGGTTGTCTTCTGCCAAAACCAAAAATGCTAATTTAGCTCCAAAACCAAAACTGAAATTTGCGTCAGACAATTCTAAGTTTTCCATACAAATACCCTAGAAGTGTTGTTAATACAATTAAAGATTTTTCTTTTCTTTAGGTCTAGACAAAATCGAATTTCTCCAATCGCACGAAAATATGGAAGTATATCAAAAAGCCTTCGATATAATCGAACACTTCTTCGGCACAGAAGAGGAAGACGCAGCGCTTGCACCAGCCATCAACACTCAACAAGAACAGTACCAGTTTAGCGCCGATCAGTCAGTGCCGATGGGCGGATTTCAATTTTAGAACTACAGTTACATGTAAAAAAACAGTACATCAATTTTCAACCCTTTGGACTCAGCGATTAGGTTTGACTCTCTATATCTCACATAATGTAATGTTAAGTGCATGCTATTATAATATTTATAGAAATATTTGTAGGGCTGTGTGCAAGTTTAAAATTTAAGAAAAGGAGATTGATTTATTTGTTATTTGGTGCATATTTTCAATGAAAAAGGAGTGCAAAGCGCTTTTGGCCGTCTTAGTGTTACCTGTTAGTAAGAAATTTTTTTGACAGTTCTGGCTGTTAGAAGTAGTCAATTTTGTTATTTATTGTCATGTGACATAAATCACCTAATCATGACAACATTATACTGAAAACAGTCCTAGGGTTGTTTTCATACAGTGTGCGCCATAAAGTTGGGTACATATGGGAAAATTCTTAATTATTCCTTTTTTGAAAAAAACTTTTTTCAGGGATCGTTAGGGCATGTTCGGTAACTAAGAAATCGATTATGACGCATGTCATATTATTTTTCTGATGACCAGAAAATGTGCAAAAAGGGACATGGGTACAGTTATAGCGACACGACCGGACGGTATTTTCTAATTTATGCCCTTCAAGTGTGTATTTCGCAAAACAATCGATTCGTTTGATATCAAATTTATGTAGTTTAGTTGAATAAAGCTATTTTTGAAATAAAATTGAGATTTTCGACTTTCCATTCAATGGTATGGGTAAAATAAGTGTTTTTTTTTTTTTCTGATTTGCTTCAAAATCGGCATGTGGAGTTCTTTTTGGATTCTGAACACCTTTTTCTTATAAAATTTTTTGATATCTTGCCAAATTCACCCGTTTTTCGACATCAATATCAACTTTTTTCGAAATTCCCGCTAAACCGATAATCGCATGGCATGTGTCGTAATCGATTTTTTGGTTATCGAACATGCCCTAACGATCCCCAAAAAAAATTTTTTGAAAAAAGGAATAATTAAGAATTTTCTCATATGTACCCAACTTTACGGCGCACACTGTATATAATACCACAAAAGAAAAAAATTTGTTGGCAAAATTCTCGACTGGTATAAAAGTTTGTTGTTTGGCAATTTCGCGAATGGTTTTGTCAAAAATTTCATGAGCGAAATTACCAAAAAGCAACAAACTTGAATAAAACCAAGAGAATAATTTTGCCTACATAATTTTTTCTTGACTGGTATTCAGCTGGACTATTTCACGAGAAAAACAAGCCAAATTAACATTTGGAAAATTTATTTTCTTTAGGTAACACTTGTCAAACTCACTAGTTTTTTACTTTAACCACACAAAATTTTGTCGCTGAAAACCCATCATGTTGGTTTTGTCTAGGTAGGAACAGGTAGGAGTTTTGTCAGTAGGAAACCAGCCGTGCCTATGACATTTTGCCAGTGTAAAACACTAGTGAAATAGTCTACTAAAAATAGTAGATAAAGTAGTACTTTAACCGCAAGGTCGGTAGATTAAAAATGATACTTTAACAGCAAGGATAGATAATAGCTATTTATATAACAAGTACATAAAGTAAGGCTTTATTGTACGAATAATTTTATGGCCGAGCGAGCTTGCGAGCGAGGCTATTAAATAATGAGTCAATAAAGCCTGTTTATGTTAGCGTTATATACATGATTTTATGTACGATTCCGACTGGTTTTTGTTAAAAATTAAAAAAATTGGACGAAAAAAGTTAAATTCGCGTAGGTATACCTGTTTCACCTTGGCAGGTTGTCAGGACCTGTTTCACTTTGGCAGGTTGTCAGGACCTGTTTCACCTTATCAGGTAGTCCAGGTAGGCAATAAAATAGCACTTTATTGACGCAAAACTGTTCTATAAATAGCACTTTATTGGTCAATCGGACATAAAGACGTTTATTTTGTCAAAAATATATACATATTTTGTTTTTTATTTATTTGTCAAATAAATTTCTATTTATAGAAAAGTGTTCGACTCAAATAATTTCTAAATATTTTTGATATATGGCGTCCATAATTAGGCTTTGGAAAAAAACTTTGTTTTACACACGACGATAAAATGCCATTGTCGTCTCCCGGAATTAATTCATTCGCGGTTCCGCTCGTGAATCAACTTTTCCGGTAAACGATAAACTACCATTTTATCGTCTTATAAAAAATATCTATTTTTTTTCTCGCTACAAGCAGCAGATTCAATCAGCGCTAGTTACTGTTCTTGTAATAAATAAAAATAAAATTGTCAGCTTTCAATTTTTTTACGTAGAAAAGGCCTGTGTTGCCAACATAGTTACTAAATTTTTGACTTGACTCTTTAAAAAAAACAGAATTTAATTTTTTCCTAATTTCCAATAATTTATTTATTTTACACTTTTTGTTAAATATTATGGATTATATACCTTCATTTCTAACCAGGCAAATACTATTTTTCGACCCATCAGGATCTGATTATAGTGAAAATTTTGAACTTTTAATTTAAGCAAATCAAAGGCCCGCATTTCAACATGTTTCTGTGACAACTGGGAAAATTTTAGAGAATTTTTCGTTTCATGGGTACCCTTGAGCGATATTACATACTGGATTTTTTTGTTATAGCACATTCACGTGGGTGGCTAGTACGTTACTGGTACTTTTAATTCATATTTGTCAGGTTTTGAAATATCAAAGGATCACCCACACCAGCGCCATATGGTGGTTGCGATAGCGACATGCCCACTTACTTTGATTTAAAATTTTCCCACTCTCTCGCTGCGTTAGGCAAGGTATTGTTTTCAATGAAGTAAAAATTTCCAGCTTCTGAGATAATTAGAAAAAACTATTTTTAGCTGTACCAATTTTCATGATATTTTCAGGAAAAATAGTGTTCGACCCCTGGAAATACGAGATATGTATGTCTAAAATACATAAACATAAAAATTTGAATAATCGAATGAATAATGTAGCATTTCATGTGTCTTTCAGATCCTCGCCTGAGAAATACTCAACATGTACTTATTGTTGGTGGATTTTTTGATATGTACGAAGTATTTGTTTTCTCAGCACATTAGATCTCTTACATAAAGGTATCTTTGAGCGCTTGAAGGAAGCTTTTCTTAATCTTTCTTCTCTGGGTTTTTTTTGTACATTTTATTTTGTTGTCTGGTTAGCTTGGGCTTTAGCGTCTTCTTTGTCGGGAAAATTGTTGGAGCCCAACTTTTTTACGTAGTTTTTATCTTTCCTGTAGTATTTAAGCATATCCTTGTCCTCTATGTCATAAGAGTCAAAAAGTACCACCAATTCTTCAGAAATATTCAGGTCCAATATTATAGCTCTATAGAAAATCCCATTCCATGGAGCCAAAACATATTCTTCACCTGCCCAAATGGATAATGCTTTTTCCATCTTAATAAAATTAGCTACAGCTTGCAAGGATTTTCCAAAAAGTACCAAATTCAGTCTGTTGCAGTTTAGATGTTGGTCATTCAACAACCAGCTCCAATTCGAATTGGGAATCTCTATGTGATAACTTGTCGAACAGAACCTGACATCTCATCACAATGGCCAATGGCGGTCGTCTAGTTTCTGGCCAAAATATATCTACACGCATTTAGAAAAATTTAAAATTGAATCAAAACTATCTGGAGGTGTTTCCATCGTGAAAATACGAACAGTCATTTGTATCTATATTATCTGTATCCTTATTCTCGAAACGGGTAACAGCGTTCTCATGAAAACGAAGGTTTGGTCTTTGTCAGTGTTAAGGAAATATGAATATGAGCGACGAAGACAGAACATTCCTTCTCATGAGAACGCTGCTCCCCTGTTTCGAAAATAAGGACCCTGAGATGTGTGACATGTGAGGTTGCTACTTTTTTTTGATAATTTATTTTTCGTCGGCCTATTTCGGCGACCAAGGCCAATCACCGACGCCAGGAAATATGTAACGTAACAGCCTGGAATTTTTTCGATATTAGTCGATGGTAGGGATCTTTTTCGTGTATCACATCACTGATACACCCAACCAACAATTTAACTAATACCAAATTCTCAATAATAACATCGACTAACGACATAGATATAGTTTTTACATGGGGGGGTTTTAGAGCAGTGGCGGCTCGTGGTCAATTTTAAACCAGACGACCTAGCATAGCATAGCCCAGGTGCAGCTGCCGGAAGTTATCGCCAAAGGCGGAAATTTTTTTCGGGTTCCACGCCCAAAAACGTTTATTTTTCTTAAAAAAAATAATTTATTCAGTTCAATGGGGTTTGAACCCCCAAAACCCCCCCCCCCCCCCCCTTTTCTATACGTCCTTGACATCGACGTTGACCGGCCCAGGAATTGCACCCGGGTTTTCCTGGCAAGAGGCAAAAACTAGGGTTTCCAATATGGGATCCCGAAGATTTTTCATCCCAAAAATCCCGGGATAAAAAAATCGGTATCCTGAAAATCCCGATTTTTTTTAAGTGATCGAATTTCAATCTGCTCTACTTATTTTTTCTATCTGTTATTTAGCTTTACGCCAGTGATTTACGTATGTAATAGGTTACAAAAGATGTGGGAAGTGGGAATCGCCTACCGCCGGACGGGGATTGCTTAATTCCTGTATGGCGCGGCGCTCAGTATTATACATACTTCATTACCGATGGTTGTTAGTCTTGTATCTTGTGAGTTGTGAGTAGAAGATTAGTAAACAGTAGTACACAGGCTGAAAAAAAATTTGTTACTTCCTTTCATGGTGCGGTGTTAGATCCAATAAAATATATTGGGGTTAATCCCGGGATCTCGGAAAATTGGAAACCCTAGCAGAAACGCTATTCTCTAGGAGGTCCCTACTAAAACTGATTTTCAATTATTTTTTTTTGTAAGTTTCGTTTGTTGACGTTTTGTAAAGTTTCGCATTCTCTGGTTTTGCTGCGGGTAAAGAAATCGAGTGAACTTGCTGACAGCTGCTGTCGGACAATTAAATTGTCACTTCTGATCACAGTACCTTCTGATTGGTCAAATTTAATAGGAAGGAAATAGTCGCGGGCAAGATTGCTAGGTAAAAAATATTCACTATAATCAGGTTCTTATTGGTCGTAAAATCGTATTTGATTGGTTAGGAATAGGAATCAGATAGATATTTTATTGGTGTCAATATCGTAAAATTCAACTTACACAAGTCAGCAAATGAAGTAGGTACATACCAATGTTACATACATAAACTATAGCCATATTAAAAATCACAAACATATTAAAATCAGAATAAATTAAGAGACGCTAACATGCAGAATTTTAGCAGGTTTAAAAAGTTATCACCTTGTTTAACATTTCATCACACAAATAAAATGCCTGAGAAATTAGGTATTGCTTTATTTTAACTTTGAATTTTTCTATTGGCAGACCTTGCATTCCTTCAGGTAGTCTAATAAAGTACTTAATTGCCCAATAGTCTGGGCCATTTTGACTCTTTTTCAGTCTGTAGAAAGTGACCAATAGACCATCCCTGTTTCAGGTCTCATACTGGTGGTAGGTACTATTTGTCATCAGGTTCTGTAGGTTCTTTTTAGCATGCATAAGGCACCAGACTGCACAAAGCTCCCCTGCATTTATCTCTATACCGCAGCGCTGCTATCACCCTAACTGCCCTACGTTGCAACGCGAAAATTCTGTCTGCTCATCCCCACACTATTTCATTTCTGCATATGACATGCATGAGTGACACAGTGCGAAGTAGGTCATTTTCAGTATTTGTCCCGAGACACTTCCCGACAGGTTTCTCAGAAAGTAAACACATCTAGAAAGCCTAGCTGATAGTTCGTTAATATGAGGCTCCCAAGTCAATTTTGGATTCAAGGTTACCCCTAAAAACCTTATCGAGTCTTAATCTCTCTAAAAGCAAAAATTATAATGTTTGTTTTTGGTTCGTTCAATACCAGACCATTACCGTTAAACCATTGTTTTACATCCGACTGCACCCCAGACGCCACTTCTCTCACTTCATTCAAGTATTCATCAGTAATCATAAAAGTGGTGTCATCAGCAAAGAGATTGAAGCTAATTTTCTCTGGCGAATTGTTTATATAAATAAGGAAAAGAAGCGGTTCGAGCACTGAACCCTGAGGCACCCCAGAAGTCAGTTCCAAGCCCTCCGATTGTGCGTTTCCAACCCTGACAGACTGATATCTATCACTCAGGTAGGATGTTATTAAGGCAATGCTTATTCTATTAAGATTATAAGTTGATAGTTTTTTGAGCAAAAGCTCGTGCGAGACATAGTCGAATGCTTTACTGAGGTCACAAAAGATAGTACTGGTATATTCAAGGCTTTCAAAGGTTTCCAGAATTGATGATGTAAGTTTATGATACCAGAAGTTGTGTTTTTTTCTTTTTTAAATCCATGTTGAGCCTCATTAAAAAGGTTATTTGTTTTAAAATGTTGCATCACCTGTATTGCTATGCATTTCTCAAAAACTTTAGAAAAGACTGGGAGGAGGGATATGGGCCTATAGTTTCCTTCTTCGTCTATGTTTGCTTTATTCTTCTATATTGGAATGATAAGAGCATGTTTCAGAACCCTCGAAAAGAGATCACTCTTAAGAGACATATTTATCAGCTGTCAATGGATACAATATCAATTCCTTTATTGAGTTTAAAAGAGGAACATCAGGCTGGTAAATGTCTCAACTAGGCTTATTCTTCAGGCTCTGTATGATTTCCCTAACGTCCCCAAACGTCACTTGCCTAAACTCAAACCCAGGGCCACGCGCACGTCCGATGGAGGTAGAATGCTGACGACTCCGATCAAGACCCTCCAGTAGCCTCTGTGCAACATTTACAAAATATGTATTTAAGTCCAGTGGAGAAATGACGTTGCTCTGCGGTACTCTTTCTGTTGTTCCCCGACTCTGATTAATGATGGACCACGCTGCCTTGGAGGGATTACTCGATGTACCTATTAACCTGTTATTATACGACACTTTGGCTTTCTTTATTTCTATAACTAGGTATATAGTCATAAGTTATATAAGATTCAGTTAAAACTTCAGTACCACTGCAGATCTACCAGAACGTAACAATAGTTATGTTCTGATGGAGAAAATGTCTTACTCAAAGCAAAACTTACTAATGAAGCATCAATGTTAGAAGCGAGAATTGTAACTATTTTAATCTCGAAACGCCTGGTCAGCGAAGTGTTCAGCTTGTACAAAGAACTAGAACAGTAGCAGGAAAAATAAGGACATCATTCTCAAGACAGCCATCACCAAGAATAAGAACACCGCCACCTGTTCAATAATGATAAGGATTCCGAAATTCCACTTCTTGTTTGCAAGCTGTAGCTAATTTTATTAAGATGGAAAAAGGATTATCCATTTGGGCAGATGGAGAATATGTTTTGGCTCAATGGAATAGGATTTTCTATAGAGCTATAATGTTGGACCTGAATATTTCTGGAGAAATGGTGGTACTTTTTGACTCTTATGACATAGAGGACGAGATAGACCACAAGGATATGCTCAAATACTACAGGAAAGATAAAAACTACGTAAAAAAGTTGGGCTCCAACAATGTTCCTGACAAAGATGCTAAATTCGAGGCTAACCAGACAACAAAATAAAATGTGACAAAAAAAACCCAGAGAGAGATCCAATATGCTGAGAGAACAAATACTTCGTACATATCAAAAAATCCGCCAACAAAAAGTACATGTTGAGTATTTCTCAGGTGAGGTTTTGAAAGACATCTAAAATGCTACAAGTATTCTATGGCTCAATTGGCTGAAGCCAAGGATTTATTTTATCGTTATATCCCGCACCTATAGAGCTTTAGAAATTTCTAGAAAGATGGCATATGAAGAGAAAGTTTAACAACAATTACTTTTAGCAAGATTACTATCAAATCTAGTAGTTTGTTACACAAGTATTGAAGAACCAAAAAAAGACTGCGTTGCAGTGAATAAAATGTAAAATTTACAAAGGAACTGACCAGAAGATATCTGCTGGAGCTTATAACAATGCAAGATGTTTGAAAATGTTGAATGAAATTGTAAAAAGTCGATTGCATATGGAGCCTCGAAATCCCTGCGGTCTTGTGGGCTAAACTTTTCCTGCATGAGTTATATGTAATACTCGAGGTACCCTACGTGCGTTGCTACGCCTTTCCGAAAACAATTATTTTAAACTAACCCAAACCAACTCAAGCTTTACGCTTCAGATCTATCCCACAGGAGTTGTACATTTTTCCGGAATAAAAAGTAGCCTATAGCACTTTATAGAGACTACATGGTACATTTCAAGGAGATCAGATCAGCGGTTTCCTAGTCCATAAACAAACAAACATTGATTTTCATATATTAGATAACTGATTTCAACGAAAGAGTTTTGTACTTTTTAAGGTGGCCTAAGGCCGAAACGAAACTGCTTTGCACTCATTTTTGATTAAAAATTTGCACTAAATTCAACAAAAAAAACCAATCCTCTTTTCCCAAATTTTAATATTAGGTAAACGACTTTGATTTGGAAATGTGAGTTTTCAATTTAAAAATAAGTTCAATGTTCTATTCCTTGCCTCCGAAATAATATAGTGGGTCGGATCTTTTTCTAAAACAAACCTATTAATTTTTCTGTTACCAAAAAAAGTAAATACTTACTGTTGGCAAGATGATTTGATCCATCTTCTTGTAAACTAAATTATAACATATTATTCTTGCGGAATTTTATACATATGTATACCTAATACATAGTTTTTAATTTTTAAAATTTGAAAGATGGGCATTTTTATTAGAATTTGATTTACATAATTTGAAATTTATTAATGCATGTAAAATAACTATTTTCTTAAGTGCATATATTAAATGTATTGTTTTAGTAGATTTGAGTAGCGATTTTTTTTATATTTATTAAGGTTTCAGTTTTCTCTAAAACACGGCCAGCTTTTTTTCAAATACTGTGTTAATGATGAGGACTTAAAATTTTAATTGCCATTTTAGTTTTAATTAGAGAAAGTATATTATTGGCTATTTTAGAAGTGATAAATAATTTTGGCAAAAAACTCGATATTTGCATAATAAATAATAAATGCAACTTTGATAAATAAATAACAGCTCTCTTGGCTAGTGAACCCAGATTCTATAAAGTTTTATTTTTTATTAATCATTCTGATTTAAAAATTGTTTTGTTTGTTGCAATTTATTTCATTCAAATCGTAGAGAATACATTCCTTACCAATACCCGAATTTCTATTGGTCAAATCGAATATAAACAAAAACGGCAATTGGGAGTGCAGGCTCTTAGATTTAAATGAAAATTAGGGATAATTTATTTCCTGGAGGTTAGTTATTTTCTAAATCGCTTGTCTATTAATACATGTGTGTAAAATTCTAAATGTTTGTATAATAAATTGTAATATAAAATTAAAATTAGCCACATTATATTTAGTTTTATTTCAGTACTTCAAGATCATATATTTTTGATAATTCGTTGGTCAATTCATTGCGAATTTGTTTTGGTGGAAAGCTGTTTGATTTAAACCTAATACACATAATATAGTCAAGTCGATCAAGTCTAGATGGTATCGGATTGAATTCCATAAAAGGATAAGTACATACATAACAGACACGGTATTTCGACTTCACAATACTATTAGGCCTATGCTTATGTGCCTCAAAGTGTACAAACACAGTGCAAACAGGTTTCCGCTTACCAGTAACCAGCGCCGAGTCGCGCTTATAAGCACGAAAAATGAATGCATGTTTTTAAATCGGCAAATACACAGAGTACCTGCTTTTTACCACAGTTTTTTTACTGTGTTCTAGCCGATTTAAAAACATGCATTCATTTTTCGCGCTTATAAGCGCGAGTCGGCGCTGGTTACCGGTAAGCGGAAACCTGCTTGCACTATGTTTGTACACTATGCTCTAAAACTTTCGGATATAAGTCCTATACGAGAGCGACAGTACCAATGTATGCATGCAAATATCTCATTCAACATTTAAACTTTCAACATTTGTCTCAAGTCGAGGTTTCAACTTATCGGATGAAAATGTACCTAACCAACCATACCATGCAGACGTCGGGAAAGAGCAACACATTACAGCTTTTCACGTCGCTCCGGTTTAAACTAACCGGGTTACAAAACGGTTAGGGGCGGTATGTCAAGGTCAAGTGATGACATCACTGAAAATGCCACTTGAAAACGAACCGTTAGAAAAATGCGAGGAAAAATCTAATATATAAAATTCTCATGTTACAGTTTTAGTTACCTTCGTCCTCCGAAACGGCTTTACCGAGTTTTATGAAATTTTATATGTATATTTGGTAAGTCTGAGAATAGGTTTTAAGCTATATTTTATACCTCTAAGTGAAAAGGGTGGTCCACCCCAAAAATTTTCAATTTTTTTTTGCTTCTCACCATTACATAACTTAACTTATTTTTGTTTGTGCATTCAACCGACGTAACAGTATTATCTGATAGCATTTTCGGCTTTACTGCTCCCAGAGCGCTCTCTATTTGGGCGGTGACGTCATAGATCTCTGCGGAAGTGCTCCGAGAGCAATTATGATCCAAGTGAGGGCACCCTATTTGAAATTAATAGCCGAACATAGTTTAATTGTTTTGTTTTGATCAATCATTGTTTTATCGAATTTGAGCAAGGAATAGCGCTTTGATGTGCGAGATTTAAAAGCGTTTATTGCTCAAGTCGAACACGTGAATCCGTTTCGGATCGCTTTTTGATCAATCGGGAGCAGTTTTTAAGACAAAAGTCAAAGGCGCTATTATTATCTATTCATATAAAAATCAATGTTTGTTTGTGCCTTATGCGCTCCTACACCACTTATCCGATTACGATGAAACTTTGATAGGTTGTTATGGCCATCCCAAGGAAGGTGTGTCGATAGGTTACGCATCTCGGAAAAAGAAATTAATTTTCAATTAATTATTAATTTAATTATAAACAAACTCATTCACTTTACATAACAACATAACCCAACTTTTTTTTGACAACATGAAACAACGTTGCCACATTTCATTTATTTAGACTTGCGCATTCAACTGGGGAGTGATATAGGCTATTTTTTATCCCGAAAAAAAGTTGAGTTGCGCGAAACTCTGAAACGCTGGAACGCCTATAAACAGCCCGGGGCGGCCTAGAGCAGCTCTGGAGTGCCTAGCATGCGTCACTGAATTCACTGGCAAGCGACTCTGGTTTGACCTGACCTGAATTTAATTCAGCTACTAGATACGTTAACACAACATTTAATGGGTATTTAATAATTCAGAGGCGGTACGAAGTTCGCTGGGTCAGCTATTGTTCGTCGATTTTAATCTGATACTCGGACGGAATGTGAGCTGGTGGGTCCCTACATTAGAACGCCAATGGTTACCTGACGTCACACCTGTTTTTGCCATATGAAACACCCCCTCGCTCCTCATACCGCAAGTGTCAGTTAAAAATCAACGAAAAATAGTGTTATCATAAATTCGATTTGATTGATTTTTCAATATTTTCGCCAGTGCCGTTGAATCTGACCTACCTATTAGAGAGTTCTCGTGCCTCAGTCGCTACGCTAATACGGTACCGCTAACAATACGGTATTTTACATGGTATTTTATAGTTCTCGAACACGAAGACACAAAAATCCTCTAATCCCTTATTCTGTTTATATTTTGACAGCTGAGTTGAGTGATCTAACCCAACCTTTTTTGCTTGTTTTGTAATTTATTATTTATCCTGAAGATTTTGAGTTTCATAAATTTTTTCTTGGTGTTTTTTATGAAGGAATTATTAGAAGTTGCTGTTCTTGCAAACGGAAATGGAGCGTAAACTTATTTTCACATAGGATAGCGTTACGGTAAGGCATCCGCTAACTCCCGTTACGTAACGGGCTCCGCTAACGCTAATACCGTAAGAACTGTCATACTTGTCAAATAACGTTTCGGTATTTGAAATTTGGACAGCACGAGAACTCTCTATTATGTCTACTATGGACAGAAATATCTTAAATGTGAGCAATTCACAATTAATTAATGTGTGGAGAAATAAGGGAAGCAAGTTTTTTTTTTCAAAATTGTGGAATTATCCAATATCCTTTTTATTACAGCAAGCTAAAAAGTGAAAAATAAAATAGGTAAAGTTTTTTTTAAGATAAAAGTCAAAATGACATTATGTTGGCAATACAATGTGAAATTGTCAATGCTTCCAAATTTTTTGTGTAGAAAAGGCTTGTGTTGCCAACATACTAACATAGTTACTACATTTTTGACTTGGGGAATTATCTTAAAAAAAAAAACAGACTTTAGTTTAATTTCTTTTCGTTCAATGCTTTTGTGGACCATGGGTGGATAGACCTACTAGAACCAGTTTATCTAAAGTTTATAAGTTCTCGTTACCTACAGTCTACCAACAGCCCATCAAATAAGTAAACTGGGATTGTCTCTGGTACATCTTTTGAGTATAATACAGGGTGATTTACGTAGTCCGTGCATTAGCAGGTAGATTAGGTGGTATTTATGCTAATCCACCTGCAAACTGAACAATTTCTAATGCACGGGCTACGTAAATCAGGCTGTATACAAGGGAAAACGGTTTTCGGGCTTCAAATTCATAAAATATAATAA